TGAACTTCCGAGTATCCCGGTGTGCGCCCGACCGATCGCTTTGAGATCTCCCCGAACCAATTCGTGTTTTCTTTTCCTTCTTTCCCCGGACGATGCGACGACCATGCTACATCCTATCGCATTCCACGGCATGAAAAATCGAACAGATAGGAAGCACGATGCTCGATCCCTCTTCCAAACGTGTTTGTCCCATGATATTGATACTTTATCATCTTTCATACCGGGGTGGAATTTAACGTCGGATGAACGTCAAAGGCTGAGGGACTCTTTACTTTTAGTCGAAACAATCGTCGATGGAAGTAATATGGACGAGAGGGAGCGAAGGAGAGAGGATCCCGACGTGTCCCGAAGCAATATGTTTGTCATTCTCTCTTCCGCTGCTCCCTTTTTATTCGAAACCGTTTAGATAAAAGGTGAAATTAGAAAAGAAAGGGAAACCGTTTGATAGCGAAGATACGAAGCAATCTCCTCCTCCTCGAAGCATCTTCCCGGCGGCTTTTTTAAGAAGAATAATTTTCATAGTGGATGATGTTTCGTATCAACAACGGGCCGGGCACAGAAGAAATTACTTGGTAACAAAGTTTGCTAATAACGCTTCGTTCCTTCTCTTCTCGCCGAGTTCGACGTTTTAATAAAAATGGAAAGTAGAGGCCCGCCGGTGTGTATACGTATATCAGTCGGCCTGGTCAAACGTGAACGAAATTCCCGCGTCTTCTTAGAAAATGGCCGGTATACCGTGACACGACGTGTCCCTGCTGCATCCACGATGATAGCCAGAGTGGTCTGTTCTAATTTTCGTTAACGATGCACTTTTTCCAAGCCCGATCGTGCCTAATCTGAATGGTCGATCGTGCCTCACATCGATTCACCCTGCCAACGGCTCACGAGTCTCTTTCTTGACCCTCTCGCGCCTTTAACCCAGTTTCCTCTGCGGTTCTTACGTATGCATTTTTCATTCCTTTCAGCACTCCAGGCGACACCGGGACTTTACCGTGGCCGAAAGCTACGATGCGTCATCGTCCAACGGTGACAGCCTTTCGATGACGATACCGCCGTCGATCGATCGATCCCCGCTTCCCGAGGAGTCATACCTTCCTGAAAGTAAGTGACGTTTAATCGAATCGCGCGAAATTTTCACGAGCAACCTCGTTTCGTTTCGTTTCGTTTCGTTTCGTTTCGTTTCGCTTCACCGTCCCGTTATTATTTCTTCGTTAACGTTGTTTATTGAAGGAAAAACAAAGAGAAGAAACAAAAGGGAAAAGGGGGAAAATAAAACGAAGAGAAGTGGGAAGGGGGGAGGGGGCGGGGAAGGATCGGTTAAAATGTTTTTGCACGGATAGGGTAGAAAAGCGACGAAGATACGTCTACAGAGTCGAGCCTTCGCGAAATTAACGTACAGCTCGTCCTTTCTTCTTCGACGCGAGAGCAACGAAAATTGAAAGACCAACAAACTGGTCGGCATGCCGGAAGAAATTAATGAACGCGTTTACACGCGGCGTGCATTTGATACAGCCTGACAAGAATAAAAAAGGAAAAGGAAAAGCGAGCTAGCCATTTCCGTGATCTGTACCGTGAACCCTTTATTCGTGGCTACGAATTTTCTAAAGCGAATTTCGCGTTATTCTTTCGACAGCGCGACTTCTTCCTCCGCGAATCCGGTTTGAACGTTCCTTAATTAAGCGATTATCCCGGTGAATGTATAATTTGCGACGTACAATGGTCGTTACGGATTTTCCCGATCCCCCTCTCGAACGATGGACATCCGAGATTGAAAAGACGAAGAGGAAACAGCGCCGGAAACGAGACTCGTCCGCTTATACTTGTGACCAAACGGCGGCCATCGCGAAATAGAGTTCACAAGTACTGTATCCCGAGGATAAAGGACACCACGACGGTGATGATTAGGGCACCGGCGATTTGAACGCCTACGGAGATCTCCATGGTTATTTCCTTCCCCGATCCTTCGTTCGCGTTTCCTTTAGAATTTTTCTCCTTTTCTTACTCCTCAGGCCAAATTATACGCCGCGAGAATAGCGTACAGGATCAACGCGAGGATTAGTATTAACGCGACTACGTAGAATATCGCGCACATGACGAATCAAGTTTGTCTGGTTAAGAAGTAATTCGATTACATGCTCGACTCGCCCGCAACTTCCCTTCGTAGTTATCGTAGCAATAAATAAATAACACACGGAAATGCGAATGCGCGCATACGTCGATTTTTTCCCGTGATTACTTTGAACATATCCATTGAAACTGAACACGGCCGACGCGACAGCGACGACTGGCGTAATTATCGACTCTGTCGCGATATTAAATATCAGAAAACGATTGAATTTATATAAACACAAAGACTGCCGGCGCGTTATTATTACTGCCGATATGATTGCTCCAAGCTTCGTCGTGAATTTTACAAATCTCAGTACTAATTAACGTCAATCACGGCCCGGTCCCCGTATTAATTACGACAAACGCGCGCATGAAATATTTACCCCGTGACGCTGGACGCGAGAAATTAGAGGAAGAATTTATCTGCCCACCGCTTTAAACGCGAAATCCAACCTTTCGTCCTTAATAAATGAATGCAACGCGAAACATTCGAAGCGGTGAAAACGGAAGTACAATCCCGAGCCGCGATTCGTTCTTTAATATGCGTCGGTCCTCTGTCAAAGACGTAACAGGGGCTTCTCGAAATCTGGACGAAGTCCCTCTTAATAAAATATTCGAGGGTCTCTTTGATGAATAAACGAACTCCGACCAGAGGACAAGGAGATCGCGAATTCCGTGACGCGACGGTAGAAAGAACTTTGGGGTGTGCACCCCGTGGCCGAAGGGCTTAAATAATTTCAGCCAGAGAGGCTCGAGGACCTCGAAAGCCTCCAACTCGATTTGGGACCACTCGATGTCGCGTACCAGCGCACACCGATCGGGAAAACAAATCGCAAACGTATGTTAGGGGATCCATCTCTCGAGTATGGGTTTCGATGACGCTCCAATCAATGCCGAAATCCTCACGTTTCCCCTGTTTTCCTCGTAGACCTGCACACGATCGACCCCTGCGCCACGAAATATTGCGGGATGGGCAAAGAATGCGAACTTTCGCCAAACAACACCGTTGCCACGTGCATTTGCATGCGAAAGTGTCCACGAAGACACCGACCGGTTTGCGCGAGCAACGGCAAGATCTATGCCAACCACTGCGAGCTGCACAGGGCTGCCTGCCACTCCGGATCACCACTCACCAGGAGCAGGCTCATGCGATGTCTGCACCATGGTAAAAATTTTCTTTTGAACGTCGAGACGTGAAAGGAAGTAGACACAGATGTTTGAGAGTACTTGGAGGGTTGGACTGATCACTGGTCAGGTTTTCAGTCGAGTTTTTCATAATTACCAGCTCCTGTTTAGTACGTTTAATAACGATCGGTATAAGAAGGATTTTTATTGTCAGATCTCGAGCCCGGTATTACGAAGATTAGCCAAATATCGAACTTGTTTAAATTATTATTATCGTAGTCATTGCACCGGGAATTAAGAAGCGTTTAAATTAGACAGCAGCTGCTGCTAATGTGATTAAATTCGAACCTTTCTGCGATACATCCCAGACATCGAGAACGCTCACGTTCGAAGGACCTTGCACGTGAACAGAACATCGCCAAGAACGAGCAAGATCGTCTCCTATCCCAAGTCCAGGAGCCGAAAGAAGGGTGGTTTGAAGGATAACCTGGTATCAGACAAGAACGATTCAGACTCGAAAGAATGCTCGAATCAGGAATACGAAATAATGAAGGTAGGATGAAATGGCGAATACTTGTCTACGGTGTGTAGGTTGTCGACCATCGAGTGCTATCGAAGATTCGTTTTTATTCTTCCATTATATCGTTCCATTGCAGGATAATTTGCTACTCTACAACCACGCGAGATTAATGTCTCAGGACAACCACAGCAAGGAATATCTCGTCAGTATAATGTTCTCTCATTACGATCGGAACAATAATGGCAACTTGGAGCGCGAAGAGTTGGAGCAGGTAATTTTCCTTTGCTTTACACCTTCGGTAATCGATCAAAGACTTCCTATCGAAAGCGACTCTTGTCAATCTTATTAACTGTTTAAGAGAGAAAGAAAATACTTCATCTTCGATTTGTGCACATAGAACCGAGGAATATTTCTTGCATTACGGAATACGTTAGTACCCGGAAGCTCAAAACAATCGACAAGGGTCGTTTTTAACGTGATTTATTCGTCACGAATATCGTTGATGCGATTTATCTAATGTGTTTGTATTTTGTATGTCAAATGGCCATTTACAGTTCGCGGAGAACGAGGATCTAGAAGAGTTGTGCAGGGGTTGCAATCTCGGGCACATGATCAGCTACGACGATACGGACGGTGATGGAAAACTGAACGTGAATGAATTTTACATGGCGTTCAGTAAGCTGTACAGTGAGTACTTGCTTTTCTCTTGATTTTACAACACTCGATCCCTCTCGTTGTTGTCACGATAAAATCAAGCATGAGAAAACCCGATAGAATGTATTCTTCTAGACTCTACATCCCTTAGGTTTTGCCTATCATAGATTTGTATAAAATAGAAGAGAAATCGAAGCACACTTGCGAGTGTTTATTAAATTAATGTAATCGTTTGCACAGGTGTTTCAGTGGTGTCTCTGGACAAGTCCCTCGAGGTGAATCACATCTCTGCAAGGGTAGGCGACAACGTGGACATCAAGTGCGATGTCACAGGCACACCACCTCCGCCATTAGTGTGGCGACGCAACGAGGCCGATTTAGAAACGCTAAACGAGCCTCGGGTACGTTTAACAAGCGGTAATCTTTAGCGGGTGGTTCAAACACCATTTTCCGTAATCCAGTAAACATTATAGATAAACCAAATTTCGTACTTGGGTGGTAAGCAACAGTTTCTTCTATTTACCAGATTCGAGTGTTCAACGACGGCAGCCTCTATCTAACGAAAGTGCAGCTGATACACGCTGGTAATTACACGTGTCACGCAGTAAGAAATCAGGACGTGGTACAAACTCACGTGTTAACCATCCACAGTAAGTTTCGCGAGTGTAACAAGGTTCGTTAACGATGCGTAAAACGATCGTTACAAAATTCCCTGTTCTCAGCTATCCCCGAGGTAAAAGTGACACCGCGGTTCCAAGCGAAACGTTTAAAAGAGGAAGCGAGCATAAGGTGTCACGTTGCTGGTGAACCTCTTCCACGAGTGCAATGGTTGAAAAACGACGAGGCGTTGAATCATGATCAACCGGAGAAATACGATCTGATTGGGAACGGTACTAAACTCATTATCAAGAGCGTTGATTACGCCGACACTGGGGCCTATATGTGCCAAGCTAGTAGCGTCGGTGGTGTTACCAGAGACATCAGTAGTTTGGTGGTTCAAGAACAACCCACTCCGAGTAAGTTAGTTATCACGTATATGTACATTATATGTATAGACATAGAGGTCTACTTCCTTTCCACGTGTTGGATGAAGTCGTTCGCTAACCGAGTAAAATAAGAAAATAAAATTGAACTTCCTCTAGTAAAAGTAATTAATATTAATGCGAAATCGATATACCGCGTGGATTAAAGCGTTAATTAATGGAAGCAAAAAAGGTAGAGTTCCTTTACATTGGAATATTTCGCAGATATAAATAAATATAGGTCATTTATTAGGTAGATAAATTAATGACAATCGTGCTTTTATCTAGGAACCGAGAACGAGGAGCGAAGATTTTTCTCTTTTCACGAATGGGGCATTTTAGTATACGAGCCGTCTGCTTGCCGACTACGGCATGAAATTCGCTCTACGGATGTTATACCTGGCACTCAGGTAAAACGAAATGTATTACTAAATAATTGTCTATCGCATAAAGTTTTCACAGTCCAGGTTATGGTATTGTTCAAGGTTTCCGAATGTAAGCTGCATTTCTTGTCGAATATCGTTCTAATCTTACATTAACGTTATAAATAATTTCGTGAAATATGTAATCGGTACATCCGGTAACCTGGAACAATGAATCCAATTTTATGTTTTTACATGTTTCCTTAAATTTCGTAACTTAGGAATACGTGTGTGGCGTTAAAGGTGTCCCTTGTTCATGGGGACGAGCGATCAATGTCGCAAATCGGTATGTATATGTCAGTCAACCGGATAAAGATCGGGTACTTGTTATCAGCGAAATACAAATGGTTATAGTCGACGTGAGTAAACGTTAATTTATTAATATCACGTTAATCCATTAAATGCACCTATTACGATTGGTAAAGATAAATCGTGCCTTTAGGTGGTATCGACAGATAAAAATCCTGTTCAACTCTGGTACGTTCCCTCTCTTGATCAAGTATGGATATTGAATTGGCGAAACGAGAAAGACATGGATGTAAAAACGGTACAAGTAATCGAGGATGCTGCTCAGAAGAAGAAACATCGGGCTATTCGACCGGAACCCATCGATGCACAATTCGACATAATTCAAAATATTTATATTCCTGAACCCCAAGTAAGTCTATTATCTATTAAAGATTATCGTTTATTCTAGATCTACATAAATGAGATATCGCTATATATTTGTTTATTTATTTAGGATATTGACAACACGTTCAAATATGGCTACGTGAGTCATGCGAATCAACGTAACATGTATAAACTTGATTTAAAAAACATGAAATATACACGTAGCGCTGATTTAAGCTCTTATAATTGTGTTCCAGTAAATGTCCAGTTTTCAGTCCTATGTAAGTTATCTATTTCCGTAACGTGTCAACTCGGTAAATCTTTGTTATATATCTGCAAGTATTCCCTATTGCTTTTCAGATGGATTTGTAGTAATCGAGTGCCAAGCACCAGTTACCAACCGACCAACGGGTCAATTATTGCTAGATTATTTAACCGACACTGTTCTTGCTTACAAACCAAATCTTTTAGGAAAACCCACTATTTCGCCTGACTCTCGACACCTCGTTACTTTAGACAAACAAGACACGGGCGTTACTCTAGTCGTACAAGAAATATCACGTAATTAAAATTTATTTTTCCTTTAACAAGATTATCAATGATATTGTTCGTAACAATAATTTTTTTCAGCCAATGGTTTGAAATTCGCATTTGACGTAAAAACAACACTGAATATCAGCGATATTGCGCTGTACCCATCACAAACAACGCATGGTTACGATATTTACGCATCATCCATTGACAAAGAAAACATACTCTTCCTTGATCTATCCACTGGTACGACAAATATCTTAGAACAGCATATTTTAATTCTTCGCCAAATGATAAAATGTTCATTCTTTATCGTAGGTAAAGTGGAAATGATAACAGGTGTAGGTAAAGCAACATCGCCCAATTTGACAAAATGGGGAAACCCGAATAGACCAATTGTACAAAGTGGCATATTTGGTAAATACATGGTCAGTCCTTCGAATGATGCACTTTTCGTTTTAAACGGTGAAACTCGAACAATAAATTGCGAAATTGGAGGCCTAGAACATCCTGGGGCAGTGGTATGGTTTACAGTGTCTTTACATTAAGCAATCGAAATTTCGACAACGATACACGGCGCGTACAGATGAATAAAAGTAGCCAAGCACAGAAGAAACAGTGATATGAAACAAATATCATGTACATCACTATTTGAACAAAAGAATAGAATAACTGTAGTTTTGTTAGGTTAGAAGAAGGAACGGTTGAAACAAATTTTGAGAAATATATTCTAACACCAACATACCATTATCCATGGTTATCGTTAAAATATCTAAAAAGTTTCCGAG